CATTATGACATATGTATCGGTGATTAATTAACACACTATCATCTCACATATAGGGATGTTTTTGTTTTGTTTCTGTAATGAGAATATGTAAATCACAAGAATAGATCTTACATGTTCTTATATCAAATAGAAACAGAAAATCACATTAGATGATGGATATGTTATGTCAGATGACAGACATGTTGATTAGTTTGCCTGTGCTAATCATTTCACAGTGTTTGCTCAATTAAAAGATCACAATGTACACTGTCAATATGAACAAATTTTGTCAAATGTACTTCCATCATAAAAATAATTAATTTAAAAGCAAGCTGCACATTGTTATTTCTTCACCCACTTAAGAACAGTGGCAACAAAGTTAATAAAACATGAGCCCCAGTAGATGATCAGCACCCGCTGGATATTTTTATATTGAAACTATTATTTCAGTGTCTTCCTGACACTCATAACTGTGAGCATCAAACTGCAGTCACTACCATCCCAGGAATGAGAGGTGATTTTGTACAGATGAAGGAACAGGATTAGCCCGAGCAGGCTTGAAGAAAAGCTACCTGGCTGAAAAGACAAGACAGGGCAGTTGAGATGTATTTACTCAGTGGCTATCTTTCAGTCCCTACCTTAAAACCTTCCTAACAAAGTTTTAAGAATTTTTTCCTTGTGTTAAATTTACCCCTTGTGCTCTGATATTATAAATGAATTTATGGTCTGTTAAAGATAAACTTATATTTTTCTTTGAGGTCTTAACAAAATTTTACTACAGCAACATTCGAACTACAGTGTCTTTCAAACGGTAGGACCATGATGACCCAAGACTTATTTCGTGTAGGAAAACCAGTTAGGGTTCATTAAGAAGGCTCAGAAGGTAAAGGCTGGAGCTGCCAAGGGTAGAAGGAAAAGGCTAACCCCAGCAAGCTCTGCCCTGACATGACATGTACACTACAACACAGATAAGTAATTAAATAAATGTAATAAACAGTAAGATAAAATGAAAACATTATGTGCACAAGTCTTTATTTCATTAAATCACTCTTACACTTAAGCTTCCAGTTCTACTTTGTAATGCCTATTCATGTTCCTGTAAATAGGACTGAAGGCTAAGAAAGTGTCCATTGCTCAGAGTTTGACTACAAATGAATAAACCATGACTGTATGAGCCCAACAGAATTTTTCCAGAAGTTGTGAGGAGATTCCTCTATACATTTCTACAGTTCCATCCCTGAAAAATTACACAAAGGAGCTTTAATGAATAGACACATATCTGATGCCAAGGAGCTCCCAATGACTTTCTTGGGGCTTTAAAAACTCTCATGGAATCACTTCCATCAAAAAGCAGATATGCCATCTTGATAAAATAAGACAATTTGCTCCATTGAGACATCCATCTCACCAGAGCAGGGGGTCACCATATACTTTTTTAAGTTTTGCTTTGCAGTAAGTTTGACAGGGAACAAATGGAAAATGATGCTTAATTAACAGTTCTTGTCTCCTGTAGTTTTGGAATGTCTGACCAATTATGATTCCAATAACCCAAATCTAACTGGATCCAGGTAGAATACTCTTATTTTAGCCAGACCTTATAACACAAATCTGAATCAGATAAAATGAGTGTAGGAAGGATGAGGAAATGAAAACCTAAATAAAACTAAAAACTAATGTTGACTGAACCTACAGAACTGATGTTGAAACTGTTAACAATGCCATCACGCAGCACCACAATCCATACAAAATGAGAGAAATAAATGGGTATGATAAAATGCATAGAAGACAAATACAAAAAAAAAAAGAATATTTTATTTACTTAAAAGAACATTTGGGCATGCTTCATGATGGAGATCAGACTATCTCTTAATGATTTTCTTTTTCTGATTATCTTGGCATACCATTATTTTGTTGTTCCCTAAATGACCATTACTGAATAACTATGGAACAACAGGTTGACTTAGTTTTTTATGATTCATGAATATTTTAGGCATTTTCATATAACCACACCAAAACATACTAGGATCATAACACAAAAGCACATGTGTCAGGGGCAGAAGGATGGAGAATGTTTTCCACTTTGGAAATCACAACCATCATGGTTTCTGTCCTCCCTAAGACATCATTATTACTTTCATATGATTTATGGCTGAAAAGTATGGGGGATAGTGCAAAGATCCTCTGCCAAATTCCCATATGGCATATAACATAAGCCAAACTGTGAAAAACTCATAAATGTGGGCAGATCAGTTTCATCAAAGAAAGGATTAAGAGGGTTCCAGAGACCGAACAGGAAACTCGCAGATACTTTTTACAGTCATGTAATTCCAAAGGAACAACAGTGACTACATCCCGGCCCGGGATACAGTCCTTGAGTGAAATGTGAGGGTACAGCACAAGAAATCAGGCAGAGGCAATGTGAAGCACTATCAATTGACCCTGTTCAGTTTTTGATGTATCTACCATTTCTTCTTCTTTTTTTCCTTGGATAGAAACTAAAATCAGTATCATTTTTAATGCTTTCACAATAGATAGCTGTTTCTTAAAACTCACCGTAAATAATGAAGTCACTTCAATGCCTCCTAAAGATTATGTTTAAAAGTCCCTTTAAAAAATACAGTAAAATGTTTCCCCTAAAAGCAATAAACAAGCATTTCTGACATCACATATGTTTCCACATAAATTTCTATGATGTTGAATGTTCAGACACATTTCTGAATTTGAACATGAATTATGTACAAAATAAACATGGTAAGATTAAAGCTAGCATGCTCTAAAAGACGAGCTAAAACAGAAATGCAGTGTGGAGATGTAAACAGAAATCCAGGGAAGAGCTAAGAGGGTATAACCTGAAGAGAAGGAGGTAAAGAGCATGTAGAAGAAAAGCAAGTGTCTACTGTCATGGTGACTGAGTGCAAAACGCCTTTGCTGCATAAGCCTGACATCCTGAACTGGAACCCAGGAACCTGCAGTGGAAGGAGAGAACCAAGTACCTCTGACTTCTACACATGCACTATGGTTCACACTCGCACACACGTGCATATACACACACACCCCAGACATACACACATGTACACACATATACACGTACACAGACCACACATACATATCCCTACACACACACACACATCATGCCCCAGGCACATACGCTCCCAAAACTCACAGCACACCACCCACACACTCACACCACACCCATACACACCCCACATACACAAAAATAGTTTTTGATTTTTGTATTATTATTTTATGTAAATGAGTGACTTGCCTGTGTGGGTATCTATGCAGCACATGTGCCTGGTGCCTCAGGAGGGCAGCAGAGGGCACCCAATCCCCTCCAACTGGAGTTGTAAATGGTTGTGAATTGCCATGCAGGTTCTGGGAACTGAAATCAAGCCCTCTGGAAGAGCAGCCAGTGCTCTTAACTGCTGAGCTATTGCTCCAGCCCTGATAAAAGCATTTGAACATGAGAAAGCAATTATCAAGTTGTTTTAGGTGTGCTTAATGCAAAGCATTGAAGACAAGCTTAAGAAGTAGGCTGAGTTGATAGTCCAGAGAACTCTGAACGAAGATATAGATGCACTATAATGTGGGTGGTATTAGAAAGTCACAGCACTGTGGAGTAGAGAGTGATACAACAGTTAGGCTTTACCTGACAGGACAGGGTGAAATGAGAAGTGTTAAGTATCAAAAGCCTAGTTAGATGAGTATAAAAGTGATCAAGTGGAAAGAGAACTATCAGCACATTGAAACAGTCAAAGAAGGCATGTGGATGAGGGGCATGTAGCTCAGTGGTAGAGTACTTGCCAAACATGGGCAAGGCCCTGAGTTTGATCCTTAGCACTGTATAAAAACCAAACGGTGAATGGCTGCAAACATAATAGAACAATAGGCAGGGAAAACAATTGTGATCTGGTTTCTACATTTATGAAAGAACCAAGACTGAAGAAAGAGTGTTGGATAATTATATATCTCTCTCATTTACAGAAATAAGAAACTGCAAAAGGGAAGTTACCGAGGACAGAGAATAAAAAAGTCGCTCTTGGTTGGCATAAGGAGGCCTGATGAATGCACTGCTAAAACGTTTCAAGAAAGTAACTTGCCTGGATTTTGTTAGCTTAGCATTGATAGCACCATGAATGCAGTGGGCATCTGCTGGAGAAAGCACACACAAGTCATCCGAAGCCCACAACCTCCTCAAGTGGGGGTGCTGACAGGTATGATTGAGAATGTGGCTCTCTCAAAAGACTCATGTGTTGAAGGCGTGGTACCCCACTGAAAGTGCTTATTGGGAGGTAGTGGGCTCTTTAGGGAGCACAGGTGTGTGGAAAATGTCACATCATTTGGAAGAATGCCCTCTATAGAAGCACTGGAGCCCAGCTGCCTACCTCCAACCTATCACCCCTTGCCTCTCAGCCACAGTGAGGGCAGTGACTTCTCTTCACCTTCATTCTCATAGTGTTCTCCCCACCATGAGGCTCTGTTTTACCCTGAGCATAAAAACAACAGGTCCAGACAACCATGGACTAAAACCTTTGAACCAAGCCCAATAAACCTTTCTTCTGGATAAGTAAATCATTTCAGGTACTGATGGCTGTAGGAAGCTAACACAAAATCTCAACCACACTCAGAGAAATGGACAGACCTAGCAAAGTGCACTAAACAAAACCCAGAGAAAAGGCGGGATGTGCAGAGCACTGCAACATACAGAAAGAAGAGGGAGAATAAAACAGCAGCCGCTGCAACCTTGGGGTCCCCGGACCTGACTGACTGAGAATTATTTCATTGACTCAGTCACATAAGGACACTTTGCTTGAGAGAACAATTCTCAGAGGATGGAGAAAAGAAGAGAGGCCAAAGAGGGCAGGGGTCTAAGCAAGTGTTGACAAAGTAGAAGCAGGGTCATCTCTAACCATCCCATTCACTTCATGTTGCATGCCCCACCGTGCCGAAATCTGGTTAAGAGACCAACTGAAATCCTATCAGCTAATCAGTAAATGACAGAAGTTAGTAAGCATCTTTACCTTCTTGTGGTTCTTGTAAACGTTTCTGTGAGCAAATCCCTTTCCACAAAGCTTGCACTGATAAGGCTTATCTTCACTGTGGATTACTTTGTGAGCGCCCACTTGATCAAGCCTCTTGAATGATTTGTTACAGATCTCACAGTTATAAGGTCGCTTTTCTGTGAAAAATGAGTGGAGATGATCTCACATCTATAAGAAAATCAAGAGCCAAGGGGAAGCATGCTTTCCTGCAATTACTTCTTATGCATTAACAAACTAAGGCATGGTCAGACAAGCACAAAAAATGTCTTTCATGTAGTTCATCTATGTTAGACATTTGAGTATTCACAAATGAAAATGCTTATTCTTAGAACTATAGACGTATTTTTGAAAATTAAGCTTTTGAAATAAAAAAGTTTAAATTCAAAGCACAAATTCTATTTCTATATGAAAAACTAAAAGTGTGTGTTCAATCAAGTCCTTAATGCTGAGAGATCTGCCAGTGACAGAACTCATCACAGAGCAGCAGGCAGGCCCTCTGTGACAGAGCATCCCATCTTCAGCAGAAGCCAAACATTTATATAACATCCACACTCATGGACTAGGCAAATAGTGTTAACAACCAAGCAAACAATAATGTGCAAATCACACAAAGCATACCTGGAAGCCAATAGTTTTCCATCACTGACTTTAACTCACTAACACAAACTCTTCCTCCAAACCACAAGGATGTTCAAAAACATGTATTTCAATATCCTTAAACTACAACCTTCCTAAATTCTTTAAAAGGATGCCATAAGGCAAAAATTCTTCTCAATACATTTTTAGTATCTTTATAAGTTAAAAAAAAGCCTAACACTCAAAATTGTTTAGATGAACATATACCTAAAAAATTTCTCTCTCTCTCTCTCTGACTCTCTCTCTCTCCATATATATATAATGAGTGCCATAGCTAGAATGCAAAAGTGTTTAGAAACATAATAAAAACAATAATTGTTGAATCCCTACTATATGCCAGGCTCTATGCTAGAATATTAAGTAAACGACCTTATTTAATCTTTGTAGTCCTTTTGACAGGTGCCAGGGCACCATGTCATAGATAAAAAATAAAGAAACCAAGGTTCCAAATTAAACAATGATTTTTGAAGGCTTTTCATATCTTGCAGCCAAACAACCCTTGCTTTATAAGTAGACAATGAAGAACTTAGAAATCATATGACTGAGATAGAACTTATAACCAGGGCTTCTGATTAGTCCTTTTCAGTTTCTTGAACAAGAAGAAGTAATTTTTTTACAATGATTTCAATATTTGCAAGAAGTACATTGGTAGATGGTGGTGGTGGTGGTGGTGGTGGTGGTGGTGGTGGTGCTGGTGCTGGTGGTGCACACCTTTAATACCAGCATTAGGGAGGCAGAGGCAGGCAGATCTCTGAGTTCTGAGTTTGAGGCCAGCCTGGTCTACAGAGCAAATTCCAGGACAGCCAGGGCTACACAGAGAAACCTTGTCTTTAAAAAAACAAACAAACAAACAAACAAACAAACAAAAACAAGAAACAACAGCCACAAAAAAAAAAGAAAGAAGAAAAGAATATAGTTCACCTGAATGGGTGATCATGTGACGTTTCAGCTGATTAGCAGAAATAAACTTTTTCATACATTCTTGACAATCGAATATCTCATGTATCTGAAAAAGATCAAATCAGCAGGCAAACCAATTACTAAAAATTAGTGAATTCTACAGAGCTGAAGCAAAAATGTAAGCATGTGGACAGTTTCTAGTGCTGAGTCCACACTGCCCGAAGTCTGCTTTGTGTACAGTGAAAATGCCATGCTGTGACATATTGTCTAGCTTATGCATCATCATAAAGAGAAAATGGTCACAGTAAAAGCACGCAGTATAGCTGTCCTATTTGTATGTAGCAAATATACAAACCATAAAAAAAGTTCATAACCAATATACATTAACTTGTGTTATACATAAAATGTAGAGTGGGAGGTATATGTTACCTACAGATATAATATTCCTTTTACAGTAGTCATTAACACTTCAAATGTAAGAGCACAGAGCAAATTGTTACAGTGAAAGGTCAGAAGGAAGCTGATCTGAAAGCACTAAGTTCACAATGAAGTCCCACGTGCCAGGAGGACCACAATAAAAAGGATGGACCACATAAAGTAGCCCATACATACAATGACTAAGTCTAAAGACCTAAGATTAAACATAAGCGATATGGCCAATAGCAGTATGTTAATAATGATGTGGTCAGAATCTCTTAGTTAAAGGAATAGATTACAGAAGCTCTGACACGGGGTAGGGGGTTGGATAAAAACATGAGATGTGAATGTGAAATTGCTTCACTATTGTGACTATTCTACCACATACGTGTATCACATATAGTTATGTTGTATACTCTAAACATAGATGAATAAAATATATTCTGAAAAACATGTATTCAAAACACAGCTAATGTAAATGTTACAACCGGGTACTATAGTACCAATATAGTAACTAAAAATTACGTCTATCTCCAACCATAAAATAGTTGGTGTGGAAAACAGAAACCCAGTTTATCATCTTGGGGCAGGTGTTCAGCTCTAAGCAGCAGACTGCATAAATCCTTCCTTGGAAACACTGGCCACCCACCTAATGAGCAAGGGCATCAAACTACTGGACGAAGATTCAAAGCTGGTTCTGTTGAAGATACAATAATTAACCTTAGGCCAACAAATCCTTCCTCAGAGAGGCAAGATTATATTGGTCACTGCAGAATAACTAGAGGCCACTGAGGAAAGGATGAGCATGACTGATACAGTGCCTGAGTGGAGGATGAGGATGTCTTGGGGTCTAAGTGGCCATGGCAAGATGAGGGGAAAAGAAGAAAGGCTGGAGACAGAAAGGCAAACAGCTCCAAGGCCTGTCGCCAGCCTTATTCTACGCCATGGCAGATCTGGGCTTGAAAACCCTCCTCTGATTGTTTTACTCTTTAGTGAGCCAAAACTCACTTGTGAGAACCTGAAAAGGCAGAAAAGCAGGCAGTCACTGACAGATATCGATCCTCTGGGGTCTGAATTCTATACATGCCGAAATTCATCCACACCCAATTCTGAGCGAGGACAGATCGCAGTGTGGAGCCTGTGTAGAAGATCTACTGGTGGAAGATCTAGGAACAGAGTGCCACAGGGCACAGAGGAAGGTCAGGCACCCTCTCCCTGTCAAACACCTATGAGGGATTAGGCTAAAAATGGAAGTGTAAGAAATAAGGACAGGATATGTAGTGTTTATTTAAAGCTAGTAAGTACAGGTTTATATTCTTAAACACTGCATGTAAAAATACACAATAAATAATTTATAATGTTGACAAGATAGTTTAAAATGACAAATCTGTGTCATATAGAAGTGAAGACTTTATTTGTAATATTTAATTTTTATTGCTATATAAAATGTTAAAATATAATCTATGGATAAAATAACAATTTAATAAAAATACTGCTAAACACTCTTATTTATCTAATTTTTAAGTCTTGTAGTTTTTGAAACATTTTTTAAAGGTAAAACTAATGAAATAGATAAATTTCAGTATTTACTGTATATAAAAGCTTTTTTGAATTAAGTATTTTATTTATGGTGAAAATTAAGGCCATGGACATTTTCAAAACTTCTAACAAAACTTAACAGACAAATGGCAGGCAATACTATTTACTTATACCCAATGTTAAGAAAACCTGTTTTGCTAAATTTCCAGTTTTCCATGCTGACTTTCAGGGTGATAATTTACCATGTGAATTCCTAAATAAATAACTTTAAATAAAAATCATAATGTTCTTTATTACAATACAGGCTAATATAGTGTAATGTAAGAGTATACCGTGCTGTAATTCAATATTGTCATAAAGCACCATCTACTGTCAAGGGGAAAACTGCAACTACCCTCTACTAGACATTAGAGCTGGCCAACTAAGATGACTGACATTTTTGGAGTTACTAGAATCTCCCTTGTACAGAGAAGGACTTTGAGGGACTACTTAAGTTAATGATTTATTAAAATTCTGCCAACATTCATAACTTGAAGGCACAGCTGTACCTTCTGCAGTCTACCAACAGGTAAACCTTTTTTCTACCAAGTTGTTTCTTTATGGAGAAAGTCTATATTATTTAAAAAAAAAAAAAAAGGAAAGTAAGGCATTACTCAGCTCCATGACTAAGTTTGCTAAAATACTCTTAAAATATCTTAAGCATCATCATGTAAGATTAAATAGATGCAGGAAATAAATCATAGACTTTCAAACAGGGGTGATTAGAAACACACACACCAACATATTTAATATTTTTGCCTCAGACTAAGTCTCTATTCAAAAGTCCTAGCATTAATAAGAGAGGGGGGGAAAAGGGACCTACAGAACCTTGAGAGACTCCGTCAGTAAAGCATGCTCTATGCAAGCATGAAGCTCTAAGTTCACATTCCCAGAACCCCCATAAGAACAGTCTGCAACGCTAGTGTTCCTATGACACAAAAGGCAGAGAAAGGAGCTCCGCCAGGAGTCAGCTCAGAAGCTCTGGTGCATGCAGCAGAGAACAAGAGCCTGTCAAACCAGGCAGAAAGTGAGGACCAAAAATGGAGAGTGTCCCCCCTGGTCTCCACATGTGTGCATGGCATGTTCTTGTCCACATTCACATGTATACACAGGTGTACACACACACACACACACACACACACACACACACACACACAATTTAAGGGGTGGAGCTAGAAGAAAAGTATCTAGATTGGCATTCTGCAGCGTCAGCATACATACTAAAGTCTGAATGCTACTATAGTCTGGCTCCTGCACAAGAATGACATTCAAATTTAAGAGGCATATTACATCTTAAACTGCCCCATAAAATCACCAGCTGGATACTGCAAAAACTAAAAGAACAAACAGAAAATTCAAATCAATTCAATATCCCTTTCAGAAGTGAGAAATCCAGCCTAATGTTACGTGGAGAATTACTGACAGAAAAATAAATTGGGTCTTTATTTGCAATCCATTATTTCTCCCAAAGATGACTAAAAAAAAACAAAAACCGCTAAATCCAGAAGGGAACTTCACTCATGTCAACATGATAATAACTATTTCATAGGTCATAACTTAAATCCATGGACATTTGGGGGACTAGTAGATGAAAAGTAATATGAGGCCAGGTGGTGGTGGCACACACCTTTAATCCCAGCACTCAGGAGGCAGAGGCAGGCGGATTAATTCAAGGCCAGCCTGGTCTACAAAGCAAGTTCCAGGAAAGGCGGAAAGCTACACAAAGAAACCCTGTCTTGAAAAAAAAAAAAAAAGGAAAAAAACAACAACAACAACAACAACAAAAAAAAAAAAAAACGAAAAGTAATATGAACTTTAAGTCCTACCAAATTACTATGTAATAAATCTACATACAAATACACAAAAAGCATTTCACAAATCACTAGAAAAGTGAATTTTTTACACTTACCAGCAATAACTCCTCTGGATATCAAGTAACTGAAATTTTTCCATGTTCTTAGATATACTAAATATTTAACATGTTAAATCAGGACATATTGTGGACTCTATCATCGCATATATAGCTTTATAAATTAGTTTGGTACCAAACTAAATTATGATATGTATGCATTTTAATAAAAAAGGCAAACACTTAGCATAAAAAAATGTATGTTTTTAAATCCTTGACTTAGGTTTCCTGAGCAAACACCAACTGAAGAATCTTGAAGATATGGAGGGCGCTCTGTAGGAATCAATTGGCTGCGACTCCTGGCACTGAGGAATCTGTCAGCCAACTACGGACACCACAACTATTCTGCAGTTCACCCTCTCACACACTCCTTCTGCACTGTAGAACACATTGTCCCGGCTAAGGTCTGTCTTAGTATAACATCAAACAAGTGCATAGGGCGGATCGTAACTGGAGGCCATGCAGCCAACAGGCTCTCACCCACCTTCCTGTGCTCCTGCAGGCTTGACACTGAGGCGCACCTTCTATTGCATACCGAGCATATGAGCTTTCTCTTAGGATCACCTAGGACGGGGACGAAACACCATCACAGATTAACTGAGGTTGACCCAGTATCTCCTCTACAGAATTTCATCATCACCATTTAGAATTCTACACTGTTTTACTCAAGTCTCTGTTTTCCAACTTGAAAGTCCCCAGATTACCAGTTTCTACATAGATCAAATAAACATTTCACTTTTCCATCTGTTAAAATAGTCTTTAGAGAAAAAATTTCCACAAAAGTCAGAAGAAAATTAAAAGGAATCAAATGTGCTTTTGAAAGGAAAAGTTCATATTTTAATTCATAAATTGATTTTTCCATCTCCTTCACCTTTCATCAAATGCTTTCCTTTCATTTTTATTCACACTTTTCTTTCAGTAATAAATTCATGTAGAATTTGAGCCCAAGCCTCATCCAATAAGTATCAATAAACAGTATAATGTAAAATCAACCACAGTAATATATTACATTGGCAATCTACACGGTTAGAAAATCAAACCAAGACTAAATTTTGTCTTCTTTTACAGTGATCATAGGGGCTCATTTCATATTTCAAACTCCACAGTGACTCAAGACTCAAAATAATGTCAGAAAGCAATGTCATAACCATATTATCTGCAAATAACTTCAAAATGATACTTTATAATATTAAATGACTTTATTTTTAAACTCCCAAAGTACAAAGTTAACATAATGCAGCACCCTGTGTCCATCACATCACCCAAATATGAAAGAAACAACATCCATTCTCACTGCAACCTCAGTGACATTCACCTGTGACGCCAAGACTGTTGTCACTGTGCCATTTGATTATATTGTATAACAATGTTTATGAAGGGAAAGCAAACGTTTAGAAAAGGCAAGGTGGAAGTTTTCATCCTGCTTTTCAAAATATCAAGATAGTCACAGTAACAGCAGGTAAGTTTCACCTGTTTAAAGTACTCTACAGACTACACAGCCGAGAAAACTGGTTTGGTGATTACAACAGGATTCAAAATAGGAACTTTTCCCACAGCAAGATGAACATTAACCTGCATGTACTCGTCCATTAGTCTGTACATATATTGCAGAAAGATCACAAAGGAAAAAAAATTCCATCTTTTCCACCTCCTATTGTTTGGGATTGTCTACCTTCCTGGCACAGTTCTTTATGTCCTACAACAGCTCTTCTCCAGACCAGGCCCTAGTCTTCCCATGAGGCAGGTAAATGGAGTGGAAAAGAGGAAGAAGTTGGCGTCTCCAGCCATCTCATTCCACTGCACCCTCCTCTCCTGCCTCGGCTTCAGTACCAATCTCCAATCCCCACTCTCTCTTCTCTCTCTCCCCACATCTCCTTTTTATCTTGCAACCGGAATATAGGATCATATAAAGAAACGTAGAAACAGAAAAAATGAGAATACAGAAAATGCTATTTCTCATAAATACCCCTTTGTGTTAGCATCCACAGAGTCCATAGACTTTTGGTTTCCTACACTCAGGTATACATGGTTTTTAACTTTCAAGAGGGCTGGGGACATGGTGATAGAGTTCAGTGGTGGGGGTGGGGGTCCAGGGTTAAATCATCAGCACCAGAAAAACAAAGCAAACAACAGCAACAAATCACAATGACAGTCACAGAAGCAAACAAAGGTCAAGGAAGCCCTATAGACACGCTTACCTACAAACCTACCCCCCATGCTCTTATTCTACAAAAAGGAAGTTTGATCTATATTTGAATATTCAGCTTTTCTTCCTTTACCTTCTATGGTGCATATCACCTAACAAGGGCATGCTTCACCATCAGTCATAGAAGTAACAAGGTTTCCTAGTTCCTCCAGTACCCCTGCTCTCCTACAGAGTCCTCAGCCATACCTGAGTGCTACTCTCCTTGCTATAATAGGAAGACACTCCCCATCATTCCTACTTTAGAGAAAAGGGGAGAAGCATAAGGGAGCCTGTGGGTGAGAAAAAAGGAAATCATGTACCAAACCGAATGAGAGGTGTACATGGAGACCTTAGCTAAAATACAGCATCTTTCACATCTTATCACAACCTGCAACATGGGATAATGATGATGAAACAAAATCTTCATGTATAAATTATTTCCTGCAAAATTACCACAAATGCTCCAAACCTGCAATAGTAAGCAACCCAAGGCCAATTACAAGAAGACTCAAAAATTACACTCTAAGCATAGCAGGAAGACCATATGCCTAGTTATGAGGACAGAAAAGTTTCCAGAGTTGTAGCATCCATCTGGCTTTTTACTTAGTTCAGCAAAGATGACTTTATACTGACATAAAAGTTTGGTTAAAATACGTTGCAGACAAAGATGGAGAAAATTAAGAACAGCATTTTAGCCAAAACAGCATTAGGAGAAAAAATGAAAGCAAATCTATCAAAAAGTTATGCTTGTTTCTGCCATCATATGAAATGCACCAGTATATTTTAAATTCAATGGGGGAAGTCATTTTCCATATACCAGCCATATGTTCTTCAAAAAGAAAGCCACAAACAACGCTGGGAAGTCTTGATGATTGGCACCCCCTGAAGGTTAGCTCCCAAAGCTTCACCTTCTGCCATCAGAATGTTGCTCGTGGCTCCCACTGCACAGGCCCAGTCAGTGATGAAGTGAGGCCAGCAGGCACACTCATGCTAACCTCTTGCCACCTTATTATCAAAGTCAGTTATTTTCAGGAAATAGAGGTCCTGATGCTGGGTATCAGTCACTCTTTTCACCTAATTGTGGGAATAAACAAGAAGGAAGAAAAAAATTTCCTCCCTATCCAAAGGTGCATTTCTACTCACTTTGCAGAAGTGATGGGTAAAAGCTAATCCATGAGAAAAGTGCATGACAGAATGACATGATGATTTCCTTGGGTCTCAAACTCCTTTACCAAACAGACAGCAAAGAAAGGGAAAAGCCCCAAAGTGAAACAAATATCACAACCCAAAATATATTCACTGATGGCTGAGAAAATACCAAGGACAAAATCCTAGGTGACAATCAAATGTTATATTTGTTTTACTGTTTGGCTAGCGATTACAAGAAGTTAAGTAAGTGTTTGCTGAAAATTCACCTATTTTCAACTCTATGCCAAAATATAGTTAGGAATTTTCTCCAGTACAGAAGAAATGCGAGCACTAAAGGCACTGAATGCTCCTGTAAAAATATTAAGGCAGAAGTACATCGCTTCACAGTTTCAAAGTATAACTACAAATTATCAATTTCAACAATGCATGAGAAATAAAATTTATAGACTAAAAGCAGTGAAGTGATCAAACAATACACCTGAGTGACAAGAGCAGCTAAGTGTGAGCTTGGTTTACAGTGATGATTAATTCAGACATAGAGAAAGTGATAAACACTGCTGAAATCAACTTGAAAAATACTGTTCAGTGAAACACACAAGCAAGTAAGATGTGCATCGGTGGGAAGCACAATGACCCTCCTCACAAAAGAGAATCAAAAAGAGATCCCGAGGCCTGGGGAGAGGGAGCCCAGTTAGTAAGGACCGTCCAATGCCTCCTCACCAGTGTGGACATTTTCCTGGTGCCTTTTCAGGGCATCCTTGCTTTTCAGCCTCTTCCCACAGCTGTCGACTTTGCACACAAACCTGGCATCCCCTCGGCAAGCCTTCTGGTGCTGCTCAAAACTATAAGACAAGTAGTGGGGGGGGGGTGCAGAAGAAATGATGAAGACATAAGACACACCTACAGACTTTAACATCACAGAGGGCTTCTGTAACCCATGCCTCCTAGGACATGCATCCTGCAGGAGTCTCAGGGTCATTCCACGCATGAATTACGTAGGTAGGAAAGACGTATTTAAACTTTTCAGTTTACTTAGTATAATGCTGACTAACTCCAAGTATGAGATTGTGCATGCAAAGATGATCTTCAAATTTGTAAACACCACTTTATAACTAGACACTAAACCTCAGTGCTGAACTGAAAGAACTGTCAACAGAACAGTGAACACTCTGTAGAATCCTTCAGGCTGCTCTGGCTATGCAGTGATGAACACTGAGAAAGGAGGGAAGAGAGAAAGTCAGAGTGCTGAGTGATGCTCCCATCCTCCTCCTGACACCCTGCCCTGACTCTTCTACATTTTAATGGTACTTTATTTAGTTCTAAGATATGGTTCACATTAAAATAAGTGCAATAAAATACCTGTAAAAGCTGAATAGAGTACAGGCTAAAGTTAACTTATTAAAAAGTACATAACTCTTGCTTAGCTTTTTTAGAAAAAGTTAATAAAATCTCTAAATGTTTAATCCATCCTAAAGGTATCATTTTTTTTCTAAAGATTTGTTACATGTAAATAAAATTATTTTTGGATTTCATAAGCAAAAGCTGACACATAGAATATATAGAAATGCTATACCTACAAGTAGATGATAGATGAATTGATAGATAGACAGACAGGTAGAAAGATAGGTGGAAATGAAATAATAGACTTTGAAATTTAACAAAATGAAAAGTAAACACTAAGCCTGGGAGATGTTATGCTCATGTAAGGTGACAGTCTGCTAAGTGTAGACATTTATAATCACTGTACATTCTCTCACTTTTGATAATTCTTATCTTACAAAATGTTAAAATACAGGCTAATTTTATATGTTGTAAACAGTAAGTGATTAAGATAAGGTAAAAAATTCATGTAATTCACCTCACTGTCACACTCTGCCCTATTCATCTTCTAAGTCACTATGAAAGAGATGGTGCTTCCCATCCATTCATTATCCCTACACTGAAGTATTCATTACTTAAACAATTTTAAAACAAATAAGAGAGCAAATAAGTGAGACTTGTAAATAACCTCAATGCATTGGCTAAATTCTGCATATGTAAATTTCAGGGTAGTAAACCATTAAGCATAATATTTAATGGCAAGAATCAAACAGAGAAGAGCTAGCCTAAATTATATTTACCTGGAAAACTCATAATCGAGTAGTCAAAACCCAGGGAAACTCAGAAAAAAATGAACTCATGACAAAGAAGGCTGCCCTTCACTTTCCCATATGCGCATTGATATGTGCTCACACACAGAAACACATATATTCAGAGCAGTACCAAGCAAAGTGAACAGTCTGAGTGTCTGTTCATAAGCTGGAACACCCTGAGCATACGCACTGTCTCTGCAAGGCCTGCCTCACGGGGAACTTCTTCCCACAGCTCTCGCATTTGAACTCTTTCTCCCCCATAGGTTTCTGGTGCAAGGTCTGGCGGTGCTCAGTAAGAATTTCCTCACTGGAAAAGCTCGATTCACACTGTGGGCAGGCATAGTCCTCTTGACCTGTGAAACGGTATAACACTGGAGTTCAAAGCTGGGGATTAGCTTTGGGCCTTATTTCAAAATCAAATTAGTTTTGTCAACTAGAGTCAATTTTTCTTTTTTCTCTAACAGATGTAAGCACTGCCCATATTGAACATAAAACAAACATGTTATCAGAAAAACTATTTTAAAAATCATTTTATCATGTTTCACAGAAACAATACAAAATCAAATTCAATCTCCAGTTTCTCTTTTAATGTTAATGTTTCAGATCAAAAATGATAATAAATGCTGAGGGCAAAGCAAAACTTTTTCAGGGAAATGGGTCATCTTCAGTCCACTCTGCGCTTGACAAGGAGAAAAATCCAACAGACATAAACTATCTCGAATTGCCGAGGGGGAATCTCACACATAGTTGAAATCAGTGGTGACTGTGGCTGGTGCCGTGGATGGGGCACCCCTATTTCACACGACTGGAAGAGCTCTACCCAAGTTCTTCAGGATACCATTAATGCTGTATATTTCTCAGTCATTTTCCAACAAAATGAGAATTAAAATGTATTATGTCTTTTTAAAATATGAAAAATACTAAAATAATCAATAACGCCACCCCAAAGACACAGCTGGTGCATGCCAAAGCCACATGTGTCCCATCCGTGAAGTGTAATGTCTGTGATCATATCTCATGTGCACTTTCCCAGGTTGCTGTTTTTTTCCCACTTCTAATTCCAAGACTTTTACATACTTAAGGTGCCACATTCATATAATCAAACTCTACACTGGTAAATACACGGGTGACATCTTTGTCTCTTTGGCTGGGGTTTTGTTTGTTTTTCGTATGTTTCACTTTTGTAAAAGGACACCAAACATCCTGGTACCTCACCATGAATGTCCCAGACTGCAGAGCTCTGAACAAGAAATTTAGGACTGTTTAAAAGTACGCACGCAGCCCAAATGGACAAACACACAGTGTGCTACAGCAGCACTATTGACATTTCCCTCAAATTTTCTTCAGGGCTAAAACATAAAGCCCAGCAACAATTATTTCACAGCAGTCGACAACCAATGGGCATCTGTCCCTGGACTACGGGTTTCACCTATGGTCACCGGAAGTTACTGGTCCCCAAACTAGGACAAATTAGCAATCGTCCCCGGCTCCTGTGACCAGAATACAAATAGATTGCCAGAAGGTCCAGATTCCCAGATCTCACAAGGCAGAGCCTAGGGACCACATCTCCAGGGCCACCCTGCACATCTGATCTCCTCATTATGCATGAGATTAAACTCTCAGAGTCTGAGCATCCTCCTTACTGGCCCAGGCTTTTAAAGGGATGACTGGCAGAGTCAGTGCAGGAGTAGACAGCCCTTCACGGTGTTAGCACAGTGACAAGAACCGGAGCTGCCTTCCTCTAACTGGGCCATCCTCCAAGGCAATTGTTACTTACCCCAAACATTTCTTTTCCTGCTATTCAGAAGAGAAGAATAGTTTTGACAAGAACTATTTCAATAACACCAAATCAAACAAATAAGTATAATTCAAATAATTCAAACGACTTCCTCGTCAGTGTCTCTTCCTTCAGATCATCACATGAAGATGCAGTACCTTTGCCTCCAGGGGCCGACTGTCCCTTAGATTGGTCAGCTTTGCCTTCTTTGGTCACGGTGAGAGCTTGTTGCTCCTCCTCCTCTGCCTCCACATCACTGTCCAGGTAGCCAATCAGAAGCTCTGTATCAGTTTCTATATCATCAACTGCCAAGTAGAAAATATTTTCTCCTTCCTGAAACAAAGTTTAAAAATGCTAAGGCACCATTAGCTTCTGATGTCAAACTAGAAGTCATTTTAAGATATATTAACTGAGTATGGCGTATTGATGATGCACACCTGTCAACACCCGGGATGTGGAAACAGGAAACAGGATTCAAGGTTAGGATCAGATACAAAAGTTCAAGGCCATCCTAGGCTACAAGAGACTTGTCTCAAAACACAAACAAGCAAACAAATGAATATATACTATAATGAAATAACTGAGGACCATGGCCCATGAAAATTCACTATTACTTTTTCTTAATCTCTAGTTGATCTGGATGCTAAGAAATATTCAAGTCACCTGGCAAACAAAATATAAATATATACAATTTATTAAGATAAGTGACTTCATTTGAATTGTATTTACAAATGTTTAAATAGGCATTAGTGATTTCATTCTGAGTAATATGACATAAAATTAGAAGAGAAAAATTTCAAATTCGGACACAAAATGGAGGAACTATAAACAAATTCTTTTCAGAAAGAATTTCTAGAGAGCAGAATGAGAAATACCAAAGATGCTAGACACAGGAAATTTACGATATCGACTGAGTGATCCTGTATTCCTCACTTCTTTGGCCTTTGCTAATCCTACGGAAATAACTGAAAGCAGAGGAAAAGAACAGAGGCAGCCAGCACATACCTTTTCTATTTTCAAAGGAAATTCTAGCAGGCAGGAATCAGTAACAGCTGAAATGATCACTACTCTGGGAGACCCCCCAACCAGTAGCAGACACACAGGAGGAACACTGCAGAACCTAAGGAATTCCCAGAGAATTTTTACTCCCGGAATAAAATTGGCATAAAACACCTCTCTGAGCCTTAGGCCCATCTCTAAGGAAGCTAGTCCTGGGGCCCGCTCTCCCAGGAGCGAACACCCAGAGTGGATTTTCTCACATAGCTGAGAAGCCTCCCTAAGACAGTACCTTAGTTTGTCTGGTGAACATAAACAGAAGATACACAAAATGAATTTACTGAAACCTCTTCATGGGCAAAATGAGGAAAGAGCAAGGAAAGTAAGTTCCGCTGAGAAGTAAAATTCATAAAGCACAAAGCACAGGATGAAGCCTGCACTAGTCTGACAGTGCATTATGCACTAAAGTTGAAGGGCCCAGTGAGAAAGGAGGGGTGGGGGGAGGGGTGGGGGAGTGGGGATATGCAATGGTTGCTTAGAGCAGTGGTTCTCAACCTTCCTAATGCTGCGACACCTTAATACAGCTCCTCATGTTGTGGTGAACCCCAACCATAAAATTATTTTTGTTGCTACTTCATAAGTGTAATTTAGTTACTGTTATGAATTATAATGTACATATCAGTGTTTTCCAATAGCCTTAGGGGACCCCCGTGAAAGGCTTGTTGGACGCCCCCAAAGAGGTCTCGACCCACAGGATGAGAACTGCTGGTTTAGATGAAAAGGTACAGTACACACAAGCAGAAAACCCAGAAACTATTTAAAAGTTCATACATGTATTTTTGGACTGGAAAGGAGCTACTGTGTGTGGCTTTGCTTGAGCATCCTAACTACCTCCCCCATGCCCCTAGCCCCTTGTGACAAAATTCGTAACAAAAACAACTTAAGGAAGGAAGGGTTTATTCTGACTGTTTGAGAGTTTGATCCATCATAGTCTGGGAAGTCATTGCTCTGGGAGCAGGAGGCGGCTGATCACACTGCAGCTGCAGTCAGGAAGCAGACAGAGGTAGAATACTGTGCTCAGCTCCATTCTTATGCTCCCAGGTCTGGGGAGCCAGACTACTAGGATGGTGCCTGCCCACATTCAGGGTGGATCTTCCCATGGGACTCAGTTAAACCTTTCTCAAGGTACCCTCATAGACATGTGCAGTGGTGTGTTTCCATGGTGTTGATTATCCTGTCACATTGACAATAAAGACAATAAATAAGCACAGCATTTGAGAAAGGTCTCACTGTACAATTCTCCAGGCCCTGCTTCCCCAGTGCTAAGATTGTAAGATTGCACAACCAAGTCCAATTTTTTTGTTTTTAAGTATATTTTGTAATTTAAAAAGCCAAATATATATTTAGAGAGTTCCCTGGAGAAATGATTATCATTATTCATCAATATGGGAGAGAGAAAAGCAGATTCAATCTGTGTTTAGTCACAGTTGATAAGACCATGTTTCTGACCATCCACACCTCCAGAAATAGAGTTATTTCTAGTTAGGAAAACTGAAGCAGTTTGTATAAACCACTACTCTTGATGTAACACAAATAAAGAAACAAAAAGACACAGTCAGTAGAAGAGACTTTATCAGAAGCAGACCTTCCCAGGTTCATTCTGTCCAAGCATTTGAGGCTTTGCCTAATGGAGGCCCCATACACAACCATAAATCTTAGTGTTTATCTGATCTACATGCATAAAAACTAAATGAAACTGCTTTCTGGAACATCAATCATTTTTGTGATGGTTTGCACAGCAGTAGATAATCTTTAATTTTAAAACATGATAACATTATATTAAACTGTAACTTCAAGGGATGCATGCTTATTGGGAGACTCTAATGAAATCTGGGCTTAATATTTACTAGACTTCTAATAAAAAACAAAGGCAGTCTTTCACAACCTGAAGTGTTTGGCCACATTCTAATATAAAGTGAAATGCAGTTATAGGCATAGTATATATCTGTTTAAGGAATGTGAGAACCCTCCTGCATATAATTCATACCTTTACCAAGACTTAGGGTCTCTTCCTCTGCATTTGCTACCATGTTGTTAAGATCACACTCTTAAATCTCTTCCTGCCTGTTGACACAGTGGGGATCTTGAAAGTCTCACACATTGAAGGCTTAATCTCTAACATGTGATGCTATTGAGATGGTGGGTGGATCCTTTACAAGGTGAGGTCTAGTCACAGGAAGTCGATTAGGGGTAGGCCCTCAAAGGGAACACATGGACTCTGGGTCCTTCCAGTCCCTTTTGCTTTCACCATATGTTCCTTATGATATGGTGCCTGACCACAGATCACAGAAACAACGCAACCAACCAGGAAGTGAAATTGTGGGCCAAAACGAACCTTGTAGCTACACTATACTAATTTTTAATATCATCACAATTCCTGTAACTTTCATCACGGTATAGTTCCCTTTCCAAGCTCTGACAGAATCTGCCATGTTACTAATTTGTGGAGCCTTGTGGAGCTGTTTTCCTAACCTGCAGGTTCACTCAATGCTTTATCATCTCTTGCACTGCAGTGGGAAGAATGTAAAGATCTAGAAGACAGAGATCTAGGAGACAGATCTAGGAGATAGAGAGATGACTGGGCAGCTAACAAGCACCTCTAACTCCACACTTAGAGGATCCAATAACTTTGTCTTCCACAGGCACTTGCACACACATAAGCACATGCTCACACTCAGATACACACACATACACATAATGAAGAATAATAAAAATATGTTTTAACAAATGAGTATGGCTCTAATGCACTGAGATTCAAAATCAACTCTCTTTTATTAGTAGGCCTGTTTTGACATTCTGACCTTCATATTTGATTATCTTTATTACACCCATTATTTCTGTTCATGACTTAGTCACATGAACATAGTTCCTCCTTGCAGAAATCCTGCTGGCTATTTATATTTTGGGAATTCACATTCTTGGGCATCAACCTTGGTGCTAAGACACTGTTTATTGTCTGCCTAAGGCTTCAGGTGATTGGGCTGGAAATGTATAAAGTTCTTCAAGACCATACTCTGCTCCAAAGTACTCTCAAACCATTAGCTTTCACAAGCTAATAGATACACCACACAGCAAGTAACTTTTAACTATTACTCATCTCTTCCATTATTGCTCATAACTTTGTATGTTTTGTGTTTGTGTCTCTTCTCGTTTTGCTTGATTTTACTTGCACCTGATATTTGGCAAATTGCTTCTCCTATAAGCTATCTATAATATCAAAATGTTGTAACACCCGAAATGCCCAATCAGTTAAAAAATGTTAAATGTCTAACAACTGGTTTTTAAAGATTTATCAACCCCTATTGCTATGGACAGACAGAAATGAAAGTAGATATTATACAGACATAGATATCTAAATCAACAAGTCTGTGCTTGCTAATTTTATATCAATTTGAACAAGCTATAGTTATCTGAGAGGAGGGAATCTCAATTGAGAAAATGCCTCTGTAAGATCAGACTGCAGGCAAAACTGTAGAACATTTTCTTAACTAGTGGTTAATGTGGGAGGGCTCAGCTCATCGTGGGTGAAGCTACCCAAGGGCAGGTGGTCTCGGGTTCTACAAGAAAGCAGGCTGAGCAAGCCACAAGGAGCAAGCCAGTAAGCTGCACTCCTTCATGGCCACTGCATTAGCTCCTGTCTCCAGGTTTGTGGCCTGTTTGAGTTCCTCTCCTTACTTCCTTCAGTGATGAACAGTGATGTGAAAGCATACAGCAAACAAAACCTTTCTTCCCCAAGCTATTTTTGGTCATGGTATTTATCACAGCAATATTTAACTCTAAGTAAGATAATGTCTAAAATAGTAAGACTTATGCACAAATAAGGGCTTGTTTCCAAGTGTCAATGATCCAAGGGTTTTATAATTATTTTTCTGTTGCTTTTATAGTAAAGCAGAAGAAAACAAATTAAAGTCCTATTACATGATACTAGGAAGTGATGCCACATGGTGTCTAGGAAAGAAGACAGAATTTGGGATGCCTATGGTTTAAAGTCTCTTCTAGACTGATCAGCTATGTGACCGATAGCTCAACTTCTACAAACATCAGTGTCCTCATCTATAAAGTGACTACATTAATAAACATATAAATATTTTATATTATACATTTTTATATTTTTAATAAATATAATAAAAATATTTAGAATATCTTAATAAAAACAAACTGTTCCATGGGATGGCTGAAAAGATTGTGTTAACAGCTGTAAGATCTTGCAAAGTTCCACCCCATCATAGGCTTAATAAGCAGAAGTGTCAGCTATTACTGTTTATTTATTTAATGTA